CCCCCTTCTCCCCAGTTTTGTTCCCGGTTGTTTATCTCCAGGGTTTATAATTCTCAAAATCTGGTAAGATAGAGACAATGACTTTAAAGTTGATCTAAGCAGTGGAAGTTGAAAAACCTTTGTTTATTTGTTTAAATGACTGGTGTTGTGAACCACTAAATCAATCAATCTTGGCTAAAAGTGGTTCCAGCTGATCCCCATACACTTAGTCCTGCTTGGAATTGCTATTCTATTAAACTGTTGAATTCTCAACCATTTAATGGACAGGCTTTGTCTTCTCCAGATAACCTGCATGCTGCTTGATTAGCACTGGTTTGATTCTCTTCTGGACACTTTTCCTTTAATTAAATCCGACAGCTTTTTTGGCATGGTACTTTTACAAGCACCCTAGGATCACTGTGTCCTTCTATTTATAAAAGTCAGCTCCTAGATTCCACAGAATAATGTAGGTGAAAGTGTTTTGAAAAAGTGAAATGCATCATAGAAGTAGAAAGTGTGTGTGCTGTGTACTTAGTCATTGGTCGTGTCCAACTCTTTGTGACCGTATGGACTGTGGCCCACCAGGCTCCTCTGTTCATGGGATTCTGCAGGCAAGAATCTGGAGTGAGTAGTCATTCCCTTCCCCAGGAGATCTTCCCAACCCAGGGATCAAACCCAGGTCTCTTGCATTGCAGGCAGATTTTTTTTTTTTTTACTGTCTGAGCCACAGTACATTACTGGTATTTTCTCATTTGGGAAAGCAACCTTAGTAAAGCAGGTTTGGTACAGGAACCTAGTTCAACTTTTGTTCTAGATCTTTTTCTGTTTCTTTTTTTTCTCTCTCCTTCCTTTAAAGCTCTTTGAAAACTTTCTCCTTTGTATCTCTGAAGACCCAAAGTTGCTTTTCCACTAACATAAAGAATAAACAAAGCAACAGATAAATATTTCAGAGTTAGCATTTTGGGAAAAACACCCTACTGATATCTATCTGCTTTAGGCAATAGAAAAATCAACTTTAGGGTACTGGAACAGCCAGATTATGGGATTATTGAATATAGGAGCATGAACAGTGGCAATACCATTGTCTAGGGCAGCAGATTTGAGACAACAGGGGAATGGACTTACAGAGCTCTCAGGATTCAACTTGATCCTTAGGGTCAGCTGTTTAATGATTTTCCTTAATCCATCCATATGTTTGCTTCTATTGAAATTTATAGGTCCACTCACAAGTAAGGCATATTGTAAGAAAAATATAGTTAAAAGATATTAATTAATTTTATATTTCTGTTTTCTATAGTTCTCTAATACTCTTTATTTGGAGTTTCTTCCACAATCAAATGGCAAAGGATATTATAATGAATATAATAGCTATTAAAAATAATATATTCCAAAGATTCAAAGATAGCTCTTACAGGTTTTGGGTAAAATTGCTAGTCGAAAAGAAAAGTAACTTTTTTTAAAATGGCAGAGAAAAAGAGTAAGTAAACTCAAAAGCTTTAGTTAACAAAGTTAATACCATGTTGGCTAATGCACAAACAGCTTCAATTTCCTTTAATTAGTTCAGAGTTAGGTGACAACATATTTAATCAGTGAGCTAACAAGTGCAGCAGCTGATTGCTCTCACCGCCCTGTGTGTATGTGTTGACTGAAAAAGTAAATAAAATTACTTTCACTGCAATAATAAAGTGGCATCCTAATTTTATTACAGTAGCAACCTTTTGGAAGTGGCATGCAGCAGTGAAAATTGATTATTTCCTAAGTGCTTTTCCCCCCTTTAACATGTCACTGTGGTTTAACCCTTTGGGAATGAGATGGCTAAGTTGGAGTCCATCTGTCAAAAAGACCGACCACATCACTACCATGTTCTGTGTCTTTTCTGCAAGGTATTAAGATGGTGCAGAATGCATTGCTTGAATTCATGTTAGCGGCTGTATTCCTAGGTGGCAAAATGTGGCCTTCAGCAGACAGAGGAATCTGCTCAAAATTCAGTGTTTTTCCAATTAGTTAAACACACCTAGAAGCCAGCAGTTGTCTGCTTTTTTTTTTTTTTTTCAAGTGTCTTTGTCAGTTAGATAGAAAATAGGTGTCATTTTTCTCATCCTCTTCATGACCTATATAGAGATATTCATTTATTTTTTGTATTAATTAGCTTGGATTTTGCTATGATTATCCTGGGTTGGCAAAAAACAATGCTATTCACTCAGGAAACATTTATTCCGATATCCTTGGTCTTTGAGGGTTACAGTGTTTAGAGTACATTGTTCTTCAAACAGCTGTGCAGTTGAAACTAATAAGTAGTAATAAAAATTGCTAAGAGTAACCTGTTCCTTCTGCCATCATTACCCATATCATATGAAGGACTTAGTTGATCTTCATTGGGTTTCCTTGTCTTTAGCCCTCATAGAAAATAGAGACAAAGATCTTACTCAAAAGTCTTTTGTTATTCCCTTATAAAGACTCTTGATCAAGCATATCAGGAGGAATTTTAATTAAAAGAAAACAGAATCTATATTGTAGGATTCAAGATACTTTTGTTAATTTCAGCTGGAGTTGTGATGTTGTCGCTTCATTGCTCGCTTTATTTGATGCGTAGGTACCAGGTAACATAGCTGCGTTATTTCATTTAATCCTCACAACCACCCTGGGAGGTAGACACTATTTCAACACCCATTTTTCTGGTAAAGAAACAAATACAGAAAAGTGAATACTGCAGCTGGAGCTGAACCAGGCTCATACTGTGAACCTCAAGATGGGAGAAAGGTGATCTTGCCTGTGAGGCTGTCACGGCTAACGCCATGACAGGCAGCCTAGATTAGGAGTAGGCCTGGTTTCCCGGGGTAACATAATTATCAGGCCTCCTGGAGCTAGCCAATCAACATATGCCTAGCAAGAAAAAAGGGAACCTATCAGGGGAAAGCTGAAAGCCCCACGTTGGGCCAACAAAAATTGCCTTGCAACTGTGTAACCAATCCGCTTGCGCCAACTACCCGCTGTGTAACCAATCCGCTTGCGCCAACTACCTGCTGCTTTTTTTGACCTAATAAATACCCGAGAGAACTGGGGCTCAGGGCCTTTTCGTCCTCACACCCTTGGTGAGGGCGGGAGGCCCTGGCTCGAGTCAGTAATAAATTCCCCTATTGCAAGTTGCATTGTTTCGAGGAGTCTTCTTTCCCGACCGGGGACTCGGACTAC